AATGTCTCTTTAAGTAGTTTCAAAGACACATTTGATCCCAAAATCTAAATTACTTATTTGTGAGTTTGCAGTTTATCTTTATTAGCTAGTCAGTTGTTGTTGTACCTCTGAAAACTACAAGCAAAGTTCCATTTAGTTCTATTTTTGGGGAGAAGGAAGAACACGCAGCAACTTACACAGTAGCAATCTCATTTATAAATAGCATTACAGGAAAGGGGGAAAGGATATATTACAGTGTGGGAAGAACTGTGGAAGCCTTGGAAGAGGTCTGCACTCTCAGATTGCACTTCTAGTTTTGAAAAGTTCCTCCTAACCTTTCAGAAGCCTTGTGCAGGCTTCATGTGGCTTGATACCAAAGTTTGGGAATCATTAGTGATGAAAACCCCAAGTCTGAATAACTTAGGATTTCTTTTCCACTGCATTTATTTGGGGGTTTATATTTTAACATTGACATATAAAGAATATGTAAAGAGCCTTGACTCTTTAAGAAGAAATTGCATACTAGGAGAACGGCTCCTCCCACCTGTCCTACCGTGGCAGTGTTGAAGACAGCGCTGCAGGGCCTGCTAATGTGCGTGAAATACCATCCCTGACATAAATGTTATTGACAAACTCGGCTGGACATTTGGGGCAGTGAACTGTCAGCATATTTAATGCATATTCATCTCCTTTATCCCACTGGTCTTGCCAGAGCACCCGAGTTGTGTCATCTTGCCACACTCCAGCTACCACCCAAATGTATAGTGACACTGATTATGCAAATCTGAATCTTGTTTTCCCCCAATACCTGCATTAGGAGCTTGCTACTTTATTGAAGTTGAGATATGGCTCTCACAGTAAGGAACCCGGTGGAATACTGTCTACTTATAATCTGTGGGAATCTTTTGCAGTTTTATATTTATACATTTCATAACAGTTGTCACATTTAGGTGGCATCATATGAGAAATATGCTTTGATGCTAAGGCATAAATCTTTTAGGATGGAAAAGGGATTAGTGCTGAAATAAAAGTGGGGATTTGGAGACGTCGTGGTCAAAGAACTAAGAATTATGTTTGCGTGGCTTTATACAGTTTAAAATGGTTATGGTAGTTTAATTTGACACAGTGTGCCACAACTGAATTGGTTTTAGAAAGAAAACATTTTACCTTTAAAGGGTAGGTTAGGGGTAGCCAAAAAACAAATTGCACAAAATGATATGTTCTTGCTTACTGTTATACTTATTCACACGTATGGTTTCTGTTTGATGTTTTCACTGAAAATATTTATTATAAGGCCCCATTGTTTTTGAAAAGACAATTAAAATTAATTTTGCATACACACATTTCAGTTCACTTCCATTGTATTGAAATATAAGCCGGAATCTAAGAGACACATAAAGCTGAAAAACGACATCAATAAATTGCTTAGGGTTGGTAAGAAAATATTTGTATTCTTTTGTAATTTTGGTTAACAGACCCTCTAAGTTATTTTCTATTGATTTTGATTAGCTTCTGATTTAACCTCTTGTGTTATAATATTTGTTTTGACCCAGTCTACCACATTGTCTCTGGCTGATGATTCTTTCCAACTTATTTTAGAGTTGCTCTCTGCTCTCACTGTTACCGGGCGTTATGCTTTCTCCGACTGCTCAACCTCCTCACAGATTTGGCCCATATTGCCTGGGGTCAGCCATTGAATACTGTATATGCAGTGTGTGCTGATCCTCCAAATTGCCATGTGTGAAATCCATCCCACTCGCTCCTGGGGGAGTAGTCATATCACTCAAAATGAAACTGCCTCTCGTATCCTCCCCTTATTCTCCACTTGGCTGTTCTCTCTGGCCGCCTGGGACCATGCAGTAGTGAGGCTTTATAGTGGAAGCCTATTAGACAAATCTTAGATGAATGCAGCGGAGGTGCTGTGATACCAGGTTGTCAGAATGCTCCACAGTCTCATATAAATATATCAGTCATGCTGGCTTGGAGGTCTCACTGAATTATATTATTTTCCTGTTTTGGTATAAATGCAGTGAAGGGGGATTGTATTGTCCCATACTGGAGAAAATTGCATCAGGTTTTAGAAAAAATGCTTCGTTAGATTTATTAATAACGTCTGTCATAGTGCCTCAGCCAATGTGGGGTTAAAGCTTTTCCAAAGTCACATATGATTAGAATCTATTTCCTTGCATGAAGCGGCTTCCTTTCCTTTTTAAGTATGATGTGCTCCATTTTAGCATCTGTACATTATCATATATGAGTTTCAGCCTAAACACTGGTGTCACCTGTGCCTCTCCTCATCTCATCTGTCACAATATGTTCCCGTTCTCCACCTGTGATGTTCTACAGGCCGAATGCAGCCTGCCCTCTGTCAAATCAGGGAGAGAAGAGAAAGGGAATAAAGGAGAGGGAGGACAGAGACGCTAAATTGCATTATGGCTATTATGCTGTGGAGGTGTATCTCCCTGCAGCTGGCAGCGCATGCGCCTGTGGCTCTTAATGAGCCTGCGTGGAGGGACCTGTGTGGAAACAAAAGACTGCGCTTGTCGGCCATACCAGACCCCTTCACCCGCCCCCTCACCGCTCCCCCAGCCCTGAGCGTGACAGACCAAGAGCAGAGCGCCGGTCCCTTCCTGGTGGCGTGATTAGATTGGGGCCGAAGTCTCCAGCTGGCAGGCCTGTCTGTGACTGGAGGCGGCCGTCCCCAGCGCTTGTCACTGGCTGACACCTCTGACAGGCAGGGGACAGCTTCAGCAGACAGGTTCATTAAATGGCATTTTTTACAGCTGGGCCTCCAAAAATGAGGGCTGGGCTTTGTCAAATCTCCAAGTCTACAGGGGCCCCTGCGTGTTGGGTTGGACCAAAGCTTTGTTGTTATGACACATTTTTTGATCTTGGCTGTTTGAAATCAGCTCTTTTTTCTCCTCTTTAGCCTCTCTTTTGTTGACAGCTAGCCCTTTGGCCTGTACTTTGTCATAGCAGCAAAATGTTCACTTTAGCTGGGTAACAAGAGACAGCCAGCACTAAAATAATGTTATATCGACAATCAGTTACTATTTTATAGCTGCTTTTATGACTTTTTCCATTCTTAACATCCTGAAGTGACAAGCCTGTGTGATCTGCATGTTTGCACCTATTGCTGGTTACATTTTCTTTAATAATACATGATATAACAAATGAAGAATTTGGAGGCAAATGTATGGCGCCGTTATGATAAAATGAATAGGGACTTTTTAGAACATGACAAACCATTCAAAGTCTCTTGACATCTAAACGACTTAATATGCATTCAAATAACAGCTCAAGAGTGCCTTGATGAAGTAAGCTGTTCCCATGATGCATATGTGTATGAGTTGCCTTTTAGCATTGCACTCATAAGACTACTTCCACAACATCTGGCTGCAGAGAAGGGGGTGGTGTTTGTGGTGGGGGTGGGGAGGTGCTGCTGGCCCTCAACAATGCGCCAACAGCTCCATGGTCGTCCCTCCTCCTCACCTCTCTTCCTCTCTACTCCCTCGCCAGTCAACGCGCTGCCTCCTCCGGGCCTTGCTGTCTCTATGACAACTGTTTGAGTTGGGGGTTGCAGAGGTGTCAGGCCGGGGCATGACTGGGAGGAGAGCACCAGAGATGCTATGCTGCACATCCAGCATCTCCACCTAATCCAATTTTAATTGAGCTCCAGAGATTTTGGACGTGGCACGGAGGTCGGGCATGAGCTATTCCAGGGAGAAATTAAGGCGGCCCGGCTCGAGCTGCACTCTCCGAGCCTGTCACTATTTTAAATGAGCATTAACATCAGACCTAACCCAGCTGAACATCTCACTCTGGCTTCCCTCCCTCCCACCATGCCTCCTCCACCTCAATAACCCCCCACCACACACATACAGACACCCACACGCCCGCGCATGCACTGTAGAGCCTCACCTTCTTACTACCCTGTTATATCTTTATCCTCTCTCACACACCATCTCTGAACAGAGCCTATGTGTGATTATAACCTGGGAAGTTGATGAGGTTGCTCTGCGGCTCACACTGTTGGACAAAATTGTTCAGTCAGAGGGAGGTGAGAGAGTAGGAGGGGGGGAAAGGTGTGTGAGGGCACCATTCTCACCTGTCAGAACAACCGTCTTGGTTTTCTGTGTGTGGACCTGCAGTCCCAGTGGTGCTGCGTACACTAATGATCCTTTGTCTGCTCTCCCCTCTCCTTGATGGTTTTCATTGATTATTTATGTGTCACAAACCCAACGGTACTTTCAATCACAAGTTGAGCTTTATAAGCAAACCAACAATGTTGTAAAAGACTGACAGTGATTCTATAGAAAGGTTTATATTTCTGAATGGAGAAGGTGGATTACAAAGTTGTGATACAAAGTCTCTAACCCTTACTTTTTAAAACAAAGATTAAATGGACTGTACTAGTGCATTTTGGATAAAAATCATGGAATATGTATTAATGATTCATTTAAAAAGCTTAAAGGTTAGAGAAACAAGCAGCAGTTTTCACAGCCAGTTGTGAAACAATGAATACTAGAGCTCTAGCCAATGTCTAACCGACTACTGTAGTGTTCACAAACGGTTCACAAAGATGTTCTTAAACCTAGCAGCTGCCAACTTTTTTTTAAGTGAGTTGAGTTAAACATTGATCTTTTTGCCAGGGTCCGCTGCTGTCATGTTATCTGACAAAGTTGGGAAAACAGTGTTGGCTCACGTAATGCGCTTGTGTCCATTTTGCAGCATAGCAGCAGCTACATTTATTTAGTTTGAATAATTTAAATCATAATCTGAGACTTTGTCTACTTTCAATCGTGATAGGATACTGCAATTCCAGCAGCACTATAGAGCAACATTAAACAAAAATGTAAAGCCTGTTGCCCGACTTCATCAGACGACATCATATCTTTAACATACTGTCCTGGTGATGTATTGTATAGTAGACATATAGAAAAAGACAGTAGACATGATCTCTGGTTTGATCCAGCTATTATAACCTGAGGGACATTCTCTCTTCTTCTCTGCCCTTCTAGGTCCTAGCATACACTGAGGGTTTACATGGTAAGTGGATGTTCAGTGAGATTCGGGCAGTTTTCTCTAGACGCTACCTCCTGCAGAACACAGCGATGGAGGTCTTTATGGCCAACAGAAGTAAGTGGAAGTGCCAATTACAGCACTTGAAGTCCGTGCCTCTCCTGCTCTTCATCACTAAGGGATTTCTCTCACTGTTTCACAGCATCAGTCATGTTTAACTTTCCTGACCAGGCCACGGTAAAGAAAGTGGTCTATAGTCTTCCTCGAGTGGGAGTGGGCACCAGCTATGGACTCCCGCAAGCCAGGTGGGTCCTATGTTCCAAATACAAAACAATGTAAAATATTTCTCATATGTAATTCCTTCATGGCGGATTTTGCATCCTTTGTGTTGTGTGTAGCATCTGCACAGCTAGCCTGTAGTCATTTGAAGTCCCATTGCTGCAGTTATTGAAGTGTACGTGCACTGACCCTGACTGAACTGACCTCATTCTCTGACAGAAGACTGTATACAGCAGGGTTGCAGACAGGCCACAGACCAGAGAAAACCCACATATTCCCTTCAGACTCTCATAGTGCTAACAGGCCCATTTATACACTGTTACAACACACACATTTTCTCAAGATCTTCATCCAAGTCAATTCATTGGATATAAAGCAAGCCAGCCTGTGTTAACACATTGTAAATAAAATCTTTTTTCCAATCTACTGGAATCAACATGTTTAACTTGGGAAAACCGTTCTGCTATACTCGTTCTCTCATCTGAAGCTGGACCTCTTCTCGGTATGTTTATTCTAAAATGGACATGCTCGACAAGAGTTTGTCTTCAGCTATTAAATGTCCTCAAGGTTTAAGGCTTTTATTAGTCATACGTTCCATAGCTACAGTGTAGTTATGACGATGAACATCTTAGGTCACAGGCTCCACCAACAGTGTAACACAATAAAACAGAAAAACAGAAAGAATTACAAAGTAAATACAAAAAAGAAAATAGTGAAATAGTGCAAATAAGAGTCTATATACAAGTGATTGGAATATGATATATTAGATACATAATTTCTAAGTAGCAGCCAGATGAATGTTATGGATGTTGTTTCAAAGGTTCAGGTGTTTAATATTCTTATGGCCTGTGGGATGAAACTGTCCCTGAGTCGGTTCTTGTATCAGTTTTCTGTGATGTGAACAATCTTTAAAATGTAGGCTTGCCTCATAATTACTGAATGTTCTTTTCTTAATTGTTCAACAATATAGTTTTCTGGTTTGTTGTTTGAATGTTTTTAGGCGCATCTCCATGGCCACCCCTCGGCAGCTTTTCAAATCCTCCAACATGACCCAGCGCTGGCAGAGGAGAGAGATCTCAAATTTTGAGTATCTCATGTTTCTCAACACTATCACAGGTAAGGATTCCTCATACCATAGAGTGCCGTAATTATAAAGTGAAACTCTGTGGTTTAACTATGAAAAGTAGCCCAAAGTAAGAAAATAATGTATTCTCTGTTTCACAGCCATCAGTTACATAGATAGATTCTGATTTGTTTTCGTCCTTATCTGTGCAGAATTCACAACCAGTTAGAGGGTAAAGTTGTAATCTATTATCTACATGAGTTTCTCCACCATTAGTCTTATGACTTTAAGTTTAGCTATCATGATCAATAAACCTTATGTGTCAGTTGCATCGGAAACATACCATAAGTGGCCCCGGGTCTGTCGTATCTGTTTAAGAATCCATGGTAACCTAAAGTGGTGCTCAGCGCGATAGACTTCAGTGTTCATGTGAGTGTGCTGTTTGAAGCAAAGAGCAGGCGCAGCAGATTTTGCCGGATAATTAGTGCCTGACTTTGTGGGAGCGTACACATGTGTGTCTGCGGAGTTGAGAGGTTCTGTTGTTGACTCTCTGATCTGAACTGCAACTAACAGGGAATGGCGAGAGCGACTGCACGCTGCTCTGAGAGGTGTCATCTTCTCTCTTGCTGCAGATTCATGCATATTTATATTTAGCTTGTGCTTGAGTTCGATACATTATTGTCAGCTAATTAGATGTAAGGCAGACAGAAAAACATGCCCAAAATTCATTAAAAGTCCCTGGTAATGACCTGGGCTGACAGGGATGTCAGAATAGTGTGGGGCGGCAGACAGGCCGGGGGGAGTTGGGGTGATGTGCTGAGAAGAGGTGCGAACGGGAAGTGGTCCTCTAATTAAACACTATTCCACTGTTATTAACATCCTGCCACCCAACTCAGGCCCTCAGCAGAAGCAGGTTGAAATACTGCAACACACAAGTCGCTACTTCCTTTTCACGATGTGGCATTAACCTGGCTAATTATGCTCTCTAGCTTTCCCTAATATCCTGGATATTCTGCAGAAGCTTTCCCATTGACTAGCCTGACACACATTATCACGAGGGCTGCTCGATTTAAATGATTGTATGCCAATCTTCAGCAGTGCAGGACTGAGCAGACACACACTGTAAGTTGAAAACATTTAGTTGACAATTATTAAAAAAATGTATGGCCCCAGCAAGCAGATTTATTATATATAAGGTTCCCATTTCAGTGTGTTGCATAGTTGTGTACACCAATGCATGAGCTTTCATTCAGAGGTAATACAACCGTTTTTGTATTTGACCTTAGAGTTGCCACTTCCTGGCCATTACAATAGAGATAGAAGGTCAACTTAAGAAGACACTGTTCTTTGGTTCATTGAAATTGCTGATGTGAGATATTCTTGGTCAGTCATCAATCATGAAAATGTAACAGTAATAATGTTCAGGTGTTAGTTGTAATGTTCCTTGTGTAATGATGTGATTATGTGTAACTTTGAAGTTGACCTTGAAATTACCAATGATCCCTTTTCATTTTTCTCAGCGGTTAACATAAAGTATTGCTGCCATCTTTTACAATCAATTTGCTTTGAACCTACATTTTTTGCTTGATTTATTACCAGCAGTAAACATTCCAACAAAACCATCTATGGCAGCCCTATCCCAATCCTGGATTACAACTGGCCACCACCTGACCTCACAGCTGTGTCAGTGTCATCTTCAAAGAAAAAGTAGAACATTAATGACAACAGGCAACATGCTCTTTTGTGCTTTTCCCATGGATTTCCTGTGGCACATTTTGCCATCTGAAAACCATATTCCCACTGCAAGAGAATAGAGGAAACTCACATCTGGCCAATCAGCGCATCAGACTTGCAGCTACATTTCAGGCATTGGGAGTCATAACTCTCTAAAGAATCTTTATACACTCCTTTACATAGACTCCTTACAACTTGAAGGCTGCCTCATCTGGCCTCCTGTAACTCCCACAGTCCATTGGCAACGTACACTCAGCAGGAAAAGGCATGGGGAGTTCTGAAAACAATCCCTCATAGAAGAGAGAGCTTACCATTAGTTTATGTGTTTCTCTTCCAGACGCCGTATGAAACAGGAAGTGCGTCTGATTGAGGGCTCTGAGATGGGGGGCTTGTTGGAATGTTGCATGCTGATCCCCCAATGTAACTGAAGCCTCAAGTGCACCCTGCCCCACTTTCAACCCCTCTGTTCCCTTCCAATCCTTCATCACTCACAGATTTCTGTCTGCTCTGCGTGTCTAGGGAGGACATACAATGACCTGAACCAGTACCCGGTCTTTCCCTGGGTCCTCACCAACTACGACTCAGAGGAGCTGGACCTGACCTTGCCAGGGAACTTCAGAGATCTCTCAAAGGTACCGAGGCCTCTCGGCCGTGCACCTCAGTGTGACAGAGAGAAGGGGGGGGGGCAGCTGGCTCTGACGGCAGGGGATTTCCTTATTAAGATCCAGACTGTAAAAGAATATCATATTTAATAGCTGAGGAATCATGAGTCTAAAGTCATGAGGTGGAATGCCGAATGTGGAAAATGCTGATCTTAACATCCTGAAATGCACTCAAATACAGTATGTTAGTTCACTCCCCTTTTATTTGGATCTGTATTATCTCAGCACAAACAGTAGTATATACTTGACTATGAGCTAAAAGTGGCTTAGTGGTTTCTGCATCAGAGGCTTTTTAAAATTGTATTTTATAACTATATGAACCTTGAATCACACAATTGACACATTCCCTACAATGCTCACAATTCAAAGATTTTTTAGATAGGGAGATTTAGTAAATAATTGTATGATCTCAAAGAGCGCTGGGCCATGTGGTTTAAACTATTATCATAATGTTAAAGCCACTTAAATTGTCATCTCTTTATCAACAAGAAATGATGTGACTACTTGCAATGGAAAGGACTCGCTCATAGGAACCCACAGAGAATTATCACCCAATTATTTTAATAATTATTATGATGTACTGTCACATATACTGTTACTGCTGCCCCCAAATAGAGAAGAACATCCTTCATGCTGGTAAAACAAACACACTTTTTTAGTTTTACATTCAGCTTTCTTTACATTTTTAAAATCTCAAAAAACAATCATTCAAAATCATTACTTTGAACAACAGAACACTATGATTTATATTCATGTTGAATTGTTGGCCAGGCCGAGTCGTTTTTACAGAAGACACTCATTATATAGTGTGATGTCCAGAATATAGCTAGTCATTTTTATTAATAAAATATTGTTATTGAACAAGTTTCTGCTTGGATTAGACTTTCAAGGTTGATGAAGAGACACCAGGTCATGAGCACAGTGTTGCAGTGAAAGTCTTTCTAAATATGGCGTTTATAAAATGCATCAAGCTGTGCTGTAGCGAGAGTCCTGCGAGCGCTGCCAAATCACAAGAGCTCAGACACGATGACACTAATGCCCTACAACTCTGGGAGATGAAGTTCAGCAGTTAGTTTGCTCTGTCTTTGACAGAAGAGGAAAAGGCAGCAGATCACTGTATCACAAATTGCGGCTTGGTTTACTTGTTTACCACCCCCATGTCTCTTTCTCTGTCTCTTCCTTTCTCTTGCATGTTCAAACTGCAGCTCACTGACCTGAAAACAGCCACATTCCTGTCTGAGCTCTCTCTCGCTCGCCTTTTTTGCTCCCTTATTCCCGCTTGTTTCCTTCAAAGCGCCGACATTCTGACTTGGAGCCTCGCTTCACCATCATAGTTCTCAACAGTTAGTAGCTTTACGTGTGTGTTATAGTGGGAGAAGAGGAGAACCTGGAAGGGAAAAATAAAAGTTGAAACGTGGACTAACTAGATGAGGACATTTTGAGTCTGAAAAATTGTGCAGCACATCAATCATTTCTGTTAACCTAGATGGTTTTGGACAAATCGCTCAGTTGTGTGTCTTGTCTCCGTCATCGCAGCACTTATCTGCTTTCGGCTGCTCCGGCCTGTGGGGCATCCAGGTGGGCTGGAGAGCCCTGGGATGTGTGTGTGTGTGTGCGTATGTATGTTTGTGTGTCTTTTGGGGGGGGGGTGATCACGGCTGAGCCATGTGCAAACCTCCGGTCCCGGGGAGACAGTTATGTATTGTAATGTATTCCAGTGACATCCTCCCATGCTGTTTACAGGCCTGAGCTGCCTTCATTAGCATGAGTTCACAGCCTGGGTCTCCTGACAGTTGTCCTTGGAACCCCGGGGCTCTTACCTCCAAAAGTTCACAGATAGCGATGCAGGGAGGGACAGAGGCCCCCTCACTTCTCCTCTCGGCTTGGTATGCCCTTTTGTTCAATTATGGATCAGAGGTAGCAGCACAGTCTCTGGAGACGTGTTCGGTATATATTAGGGTGGTGTGTGTCTCTGAGGTGTGTGTCCATCGGGTGTGGTTGTGTACCACCATAGGCTGTGTGTTTGGTAACTAAGACTGTGTATCAACTCACATTTTTTTATAAAGTACCAATGTTTCAATGCCAAAAGCAATATGATGTTTGTCTACATATCCTTTGTTTTATTTAAAAAAAACAAGTTAACCTTCCAAAAAAATATTGTAAAAAATGTATCAACTGACTTATTGAAGACTTGGACAAAGACAAATCCATCAAAGCCATAAATGACAGCTTTCGGACTTTCATTATTGTCATTTGCTACTCAGGCTTATTTACTGCATTTAGCCTATTCATTAATTCCTGTTTTAATTTGTATGTTTAATTTGCTATTCTGCAGTTGAATAATATCAAATTACCTCAAGTAAAATCAAACGTCACTCCAGAGCTCAGTGATAGATAGTGATAAGCATATCATTAGTCCTATGTCAACACAGTGGATACAACTAAATGATAGACTTTAAACTGACTTTTTATTCTTAGAATTATCCCACGGTAGCATTGCACAATCTGGGATTTTTCTTTCCCACAGATCAGAGTCCTACCTGAGACCTGTTTGTTAAGTACAGATGACTATCACTTGATGGACAGCATTGTACAAATTGCTTGTGGTCTGTGCTGATTTGCCAAATAATATCCTCCCAAACATACTGCACACACCTACAATTACCTGCGGTTGGGCATTCAGTGAGCTGTGAACAGTGCTACTGAGCTCTGCATTGCTTTGCCTCAGGGCCAGAGTTCTGCATATTTGGATGTCACATACATTCATGCAGTGAAGTGTTTCATTAGATTGTAATGATTATTTTGTGATTGAGTGACAAGTGGATGATAGATTTGGGGAAGCCAATCTTCGTCACGCTGTTAAATGATGTGGTGGAAATCATACAATTGCATAAGAATGTGAAAGAAGCAGATGTGGTTTAACACTGTGCTACTTTAACCTCAGACTGAAATGTATTCAATATGTCCTTGTAACATTTCGAAGAGACACACAAGAGCATTTCTCATCCCATACTTAGTGTTAACATTTATTCCACCATACTTAAAATCACGTAAATAATGCTAGAGGTATTGATTTCCCTTGTTATTATACACTGGAATGAGCTGCGCTGAGATAGAGAAACCAATTTAAATATTTTATTTAGGGTTCTTCTGTAGGACTGAGTAAAAGCTGAGCATCTACAGCCTATCTGCTGTAACCCCCCCCCCCCC